CCCTGGTAATTCCCAGTATCCTCCTGAGTATCCTCCCAGTATCCCCCCACATGACCCCCCAGTATCCCCCGGTATCCTCCCAGTATCCCCCCAGCACATCCCAGTATTCCCTCAGTATTCCCCCATTTTCCCCCCAGTACCCCCCAGTTTCCCCCCCTTGCCCCCCCGCTGTCACTCACCCCCGCTGGTGCCACCCTCCGGTGTCACCTTTGCCCGCACCAGGTCCAGGAGAGCAGCGTAGGCGCCCCAGCAGCGCTCACTGGGGGACGAGGGGCTCAGGGGGACTGTCCCCAACCCTGTCCCCATCCCATCCCATCCCATCCCATCCCATCCCATCCCATCCCATCCCAGTCCCCATTCCCATCCCTGTGCCCTGTCCCCATCCCGAAGGTCTCATGGGAATTGTCCCCATCTCTGTCCCCTGTCCCTTGTCTCCACTCTGTCCCCTGTCCCCTGTCCCCTGTGCCCTGTCCCCTGTCCCCATCCCTGTCCCTGTCCCCACCTGCAGCTCAGTGCCAGCCTCATTCCGCTGCAGCGGGACTCTCTCAGCCCCAGCTCCATGCTCAGCCGCTCCGCCTCGCCCTTGCACTCGCCCAGCGCGGCCACCAACTCCCGGTTCGCGTCCTGGAGCCTCGCCACGACCCTGCGGCCCCCCCGGCCCCGCCGCCACCGGCGCCGTGCCTCAGTTTCCCCGCGGCGGGGGGCTCGGGGGGGACTCACACACCCCTCCCCTGGGGGGCTGGGGGGATCCGAGGGGGACTCACCCCTTCCTGGGGGGCTCGGGGAATCGGGGGGGAGTCACCCCTGCCCTGGGGGGATCCGGGGAGACTCACTCCTCTCCTGGGGGGACTCACCCCTCCCCGGGGGGACTGGGGGGACTCACCCCTTCCCTGGAGGGGCTCGGGGGACCTGGGGGGGACTCACTCACCCCTTCCCCGGGGGGATTCACGGACTCACCCCCGCAGCTCCTGCAGCCGCTCCTCCTGCTCCGGGCTGGGCCCCTCCGAGGGCTGGGGGGACAGCGGGGCCTGGGGGGACAGCGGGGCCTGGGGGGACAGCGGGGCCTGGGGCTGAGGGGACAGCGGGGCTGCAGGTCAGGGGGTGCGGCCCGAGGGGTTCAGAGCCTGGGGGTTTTATCCCGTGGGGCTCCATCCCATGGGGCCGAGCATCGTTGGGTGACATCCCGCGGAGGGGACACCAGAGCGCCGTGCCAGGGCAGGACCCACCCCTGTCCCTACCCCGCACTCACCCACTGCCCCCGGGGGCTGCTGGACCCGGGGGTGTCATCGGTCCTGGGGGTGTCACCAATCCCGGGGATGTCACCAATCCCGGAGGTGTCGCCAATCCCGGGGGTGTCACCGAGGCCTGGGGTGGCACCGAGCCCGGGGGTGGCACCAGTCCCAGGGGTGTCACCAACCCCGAGGTTGCCACCGGTCCCCGGGGTGTCACCAATCCCGGCGGTGTCATCGGTCCCGGGGGTGTGGCCTGTCCTGGGGGTGTCACCGAGCCCGGGGATGTCACTGGTCCCGGGGGTGTCACCGCCAGACCCCCCCGGCTCCTCCAGCCTGGCCAGAGCCTCCCGCAGGTCCCGCACCTTAAACCGGACACCGGGCTCAGACTCGGGGCCGCTCCGGCGACACCCCCAGGGTGGCACCGGGTGACACCCCCAGGGTGGCACCCTCTGTCCCGCCCCGCACCCACCTTGCCCTGCAGGCGCTCCCGCTCGCCCCGCAGCGCCCGCAGCGCGGCCGTGGCCTGGCCCAGCTCCTCCTCTCGTTGCCCCAGGGTCGCCCGCAGGCTCGCGTTCCTCGCCGCGGCCGCCGCCACCTCCTCCGGTAGCCCCTGGGCCACCTCCAGCTCGGGCCAGCAGCGGCGAGCCCAGCGCGGTGTCCGGCTCAGCTCCTCCAGGCTCTGGCAATGCCACTCTGGTCACTCCGTGCCCACCGCGCCCCCGTGGGCACCGCGCCCGTGGCGTGGCTCACCTTGACCGCTCGGTGCCAGCCCGGGGCGAGCAGTGGCCACGCCGGTGGCCGCCGGTGACGAGAGAAGACGGCGCGTTCCAGGGAGCTCACGGCGTGCTGGAGGCGCTCGAACAGATCCGGGCTGAGCGCTGGGGACGGCGACAGCGACACGATCAGGGGTGGCACAGCGCGGAAAGGTGGCGCAGGTGTGGTGGCACAGGTGTGGCACGGAACGCAGCGCTCACCGTCCGGCCCGGGGCTGGCAGCGGGGACAGTGGGGACAGTGGGGACAGTGGGGACAGTGGTGGTGGCGGCCCAGCCGTCCTCATCCTCCCTGCGGGGGCACAGAGAGAGGTGGCGCGGTCACGGAGTCACCTCGGTCTCCGTGTCCCCGTGATCCTGCTGTCGTCGCGCTCCCGTTGTCCCCGCTGTCCCGGTGTCCCCTCGGTCTCGGTGTCCCCGTTGTCCCGCTATCCCCTCTCTCCCGGTGTCCCCTCAATGTCCCCTCGCTCCCGCTGTCCCCGTGTCCCCTTGGTCCCGGTGTCCCCGCTGTCCTGGCGTCCCCTGGCTCCCGGTGTCCCCTCAGTGTCCCCTCGCTCCCGCTGTCCCCGCGCGGTCCCTGTACCTGTCAGGTCGCTGCTGTCGCCGCTGCTGTCGCGGGGCCACCTCTGCCAGCAGCGCGATGTCCTCGGTGTCACCGGCCACGTCCTCCTCTTCCTCATCCTCATCCTCTTCCTCATCCTCATCCTCATCCTCATCCTCCTCACGCGGGGACCGGGGCGGGGTGGCCGGGTCAGAGCTGGTGGCACCCACCGGGGAGTCCTGGCACAGGGACGAGCTTTGGCCACCAACGCGGCCCGCTGGGCCACTGCCCCATCCCGGAGCGGGAATTCCGTGTGGGGTCAGTCCCGTGTGGGGTCAGTCCCGTTTGGGGTCAGCCCGGTTTGGGGTCAGCCCCGGGCTGTGCCCTCTCACCTCCTCCATGCCGGATCGTCCTGCCCGTGGCTCCCAGGGCTCCCAGCACGTCCCAGTTCCAAACTGGGGCTCCCAACAAGTCCTGGTTCCACACCGAGGGTCCCAGTAGGTCCCGGTTCCACCTCGGGGTTCCCGTTCTATCCCCGTTTCCCCCATTATCCCGTTCTGTCCCAGTTCCATTCCCATGTTCCCATTCCATCCCAGTAGGTCCCAGTTCCCCACCCACCGAGGGTGTCACTCTATCCCGGCCTTCCCGTTCTGTCCCGGTTCTGTCCCGATTCCCCCAGACCGTCCAGGTTCTCCCCCGGTTCCCCCCAGCCTGTCCCAGTTCTATCCCGGTTCTCTCCAGCCTGTCCCAGTTCTATCCCGGTTCTGTCCCGGTTCTCTCGCAGTTCTGTCCGAGTTCTATCCCTGTTCTGTCCTGGTTCTGTCCCGACCTGTCCCAGTTCTCTCCCGGTCCTGTCCCAATTCTCTCCTGGTCCTGTCCCGGTTCTGTCCAGGTTCTGTCCTGACCTGTCCCAACTTGTCTCGGTTCTCTCCCGGTCCTGTCCCGGTCCTGTCCCGGTTCTCCCCCAGCCCAAACTCGGCCCCTCCCGGCGGTTCCGGCTGCTCCTCCGGCCTCTCCCGCTCCGGTTCCTGCCGGGATTTCCTTTTCCTTTGCCCGCGGAGCTGCCCCGGCCGGGGGGGGACAGAGGGGCCCTTTTGGGGTGCTCCGCCCCTCCCCCCAAATCCCCCCAAAACTCCTCCCCAAAATTCCCCTCAAAATTCTCCCCCAAATCCCTCCAGAAGCCGCCCCCCAGAACTCCCCAAAAAGCCCCAGAACCCCCCAAAAACCCCCCCCAAATCCCCCCCAAAACCACCTCAAAAAACCCTCCAAAAACCACTCCAAAAAAACCCCAAATTCCCCCCAAAACGACCCCAAAACCTCCCCCAAAAAACACCCCAGAAGCCCCCAAAAACCACTTCAAAAAGCCCCAAAACCGACCCCAAAAACCATCCCAGAACCGCCCCAAAAGCCCCCCAAAACCACCCCAAAAAAACCCCCAAACAATTCTGAGGTGCGCAGAAGAATTGAGGGGCGCACATGGATATTTATAGATATAAAATATATTTTTGTAAAATATATTTATATAAAATATATTTTATATGTGTACTTAAATATATTATGTAATATATAATATATTATAATGCATAGTAATATATTTTATCCTGCTTTATTCTATTTTATTCTTGTTTTTTTACAATTATTAAAATGAATGCTATATGCATAATTTTCGAAAATATTCTCTTTCATTCTATTAACAAAATTAATTCTATTCACAAAATTAATGCTATTAACAAAATTTAGAACTACTAGTGTGATAAACACATAATTTTAAATAGTAACGTGATAAATATATAATTTTTTTGGACTATACCTGGCGATGTAAAAAGGTTTTTTTCATGTAAATAACTCGGAGAATGGTAAAAAAAAAAAAAAGATAATCAGGAAATTTTTCACATTCTTAGATTTTCCTATCTGGATGAAAATCGCGGTGACGAGCACCAGAACTCCAGGGAAGGAATTTATTTATCTCCGTTATCAGGGAAAAGAAGGAACCGCAAGGAGATATAATAAAATAAAATAAAACAAAATAAAAGAAGAAGAAATTATTTTCAGGTTGGGAGGGATGATTTTGAATAATGAAGATATGATAGATAACACGACAAGGTAATGAATAGATAAGGTAATATGAATACGCAACATATAAATAAAAATAAAAATAAAAATAAAAATAAAAATAAAAATAAAAATAAAAATAAAAATAAAAATAAAAATAAAAAATATAAATATGCATTTAAAGAAGCGGAGGGTTTCGAGGAGCATTTGTGGGGCGGGGGGCGGAGTTCGGGGTCTTGGCCGGGGGTCCTGAAGGACAACAACTCCCAGCAGCCTCCGCGTGACGTCACTTCCGGCGGCGCGGCGCGGGCTGAGCTCGGGGGTCTCGGGGGGTTTTGTGGAGTTTTGGGGGGTCAGGGGGTGAACAAAAAAGGGGGAACGTGAGGAAGGGGCTGCGTGAGGGGATGGGGGCTGGGGGCGGCGTTGGGGGCTCGGGGGTGCCCCCCGTGATGGGTGCCGGGTACACGAGTGACTACAACTCCCAGCATCCTCCACGTGACGTCACTTCCGGCGGATCGGAGCTGACCGTGCGCGGAGTCTCGGGTGGCTTTTGTGGGGTTGGGGGGTGAATACAAAATGGGGAAACGTGGGGAAGGGGCTTGGTGAAGGGATGGGGG